TTGGAAATCAATGTATCATCAAAAATTGCAAATGATTTATCTGAAATATCTATATGTGACACATATATGAATATAAAAGAAAATTTAGCAAAATCTTCTGAACAGCAAACTATGAAAAATAATAACATAGAAATTAACCAAATGAATTCATTAGAAGGTTCAAATTCATATCTTACAGAATCAAATTTAAATAATATACATAATAATCAAAATATTTCGAATACTTCGGAAAATTTGGATATAGAAAAAGTTGAAAAAAAAACTGATAAGACAAACATGGAATTTTATTTTCAAAAGAAACTTGTTAATACTGAAAACAATATTACAACACAAGAACTTATTAATAATCAATTGATAATAACATCAGAAGATGTTGAAAAAAGTTATGATACTTTAATTGAATCTAATAATGATAAAAACATTATAATTATAAATGAAAAAGAAAAAATAAATTCAAAAATACAAAATGTAAATGAAGAAAAATTACAGGATGATAAAGATAATAATACTATTAAAGAATTTAATAATATGTATCAGGATGAACATTTTATAAGTCTCAAGGAACATAAAGAACAGCATAATAAATGTTCAAGTGAAGAAAATAATAATCAGAAATCTATTTCTTCTTTTATTGAGAATATAGAAGTATCAAAAAGTGATATATTTGATAAAAAGTTGTATAAACGTAAAAGAAGAAACAACAAAACTCCTCTTCGACGAAGCTCAAGATATGCTGAAGAATCTGCAAAACGTATAAAACTAGAAGTTGACATTGACTTAAATGCTAAACAAGAGGAAAAGAATTCTAAGATGTCTCCGAATACATTATCTATATCATTATCGCCATGTGAAGAAATTGAAACTATATTTACAAATTCTAAAAAAAATCGTAGTATTCAAAAACCAATAATAAATAGAAAGCGATGTACGCCTATGTCTCCTGAAATTAAAATTTTATCACATGAATCGAATTTAAATAATGAATCATTAAAAGCAATTAAAAAATATAAAAAACATACAATGTCCGAAATGATGAATTGTATAGTACGAGTAGTAGATTGTAAACATATGATTTTGAACCCAACTATAAGTTTAAATTTATTACAAAAGTATGGAATATCTAGAATTAATACGAACATGTATTCTAATTCTTCAGAAATAGATTTTCTAGATTCTGTACAATCAACATCAACTAAAGACATATTGACTATATGTACAAAACAAGCATCATTGACTGAATTTTCACGAACTCAAACTTCAAAGTTAATTAAAACATTTGATGATACAACACGACCCATTACTGATCAAATAAATCTCATTAAAATTAAAAAAATATCGAAATCTGTAAAAAATTCACTTGTAAATGATAAAGAAGAACATAATAATGATACCGAAATTATGCCAATTTTAATAAAAGAGCCAAATATTACGAATAATATACAAAATTGCGATAAGCCAGATATTGAAATTGTGGAAGAAAAAATGAAAGTTATCAAGAATCAACAATACAATAATTGTGAATCGACACCGACTGTGATAGATATGACAGAAGATAAAGAACTACCGAGAACACAATATACAGTACATAAAGGTCCCATTTTAGATATTAAGGTAAAGAAAAAACGGCATCGTAATAAAATCAGAATGAAATGAAAATATTAAAATAATTTATTTATTCTTATTTTTCTTATTTTTTTTTTTAATTTAGAGTTAGATAAATTTATATATTTTTTTTTAATATTTATAATATGTTAAGTTTATTTACTTTATAAATACATACTTCTATATTTTTAATTCTTATTGAAGAGTATATTTTATTTGTTTTGATTACATTTTATTTGTTATAGATTTTTATTATATAAAGAATTCTATTGAAATTATATATATATATATATATATATATATACACAAAAACAAAGAAATAATTAATAAAATTTAAAAAATTATTAATTTTTAAATTTTCACTTGTTATTTTCCTTGACCTTATGAATTATTTTTTTATTTACTTTATAATTAATATTTTATAATTATACAATTATTTGTTTTATGTTTATTTTTATCTTTAGCTATAATTTTTAATTTTATGATTCCATATTATTACTAATGTGGAATAATTTCTGTGAAAATACTAGAAGTTGATTAAATTTAATAAATTAATAATAAATAATTATTTATAAGAATTAATTAATAATATAAATAAATATATTTTTTAGGTTTTTGAGAATTCATTTCTAGCTGCAAGTGAAGATGGTAGAATATATAGATATAATCAAGCATCTAATGGAATATTAAATATTTATAAAGGTCATAAAGCAGCAGTTACTTGTTTATATGTATATAATGCAAACAGCATAGATATTAATAAAGAATGGATGTTTTCTGGTTCATTGGATGGAACTTTACGATGTTATAATATAATGGTAAATAATATATTTATCTATAAATTTAATGTAATATATGTTATTTATTTCATTTTTCTATATATTATATATTAAATTATTATGTTGTTATATTCTTAAATATTCTATTATAAATATTTAATTTAGACTGGAATACAAATAAGAGATACAGCAGATATAAGTAGTCCAATACAATGTATGGATGAAGCATGGGGAATAATTTTTATTGGTACTAAATCAGGTCATGTATCACGTTATCATATAAAGGTTTGTTGAAAAACTTTTGAAATAAAATTATTTTTATATTGGATATGAGTATTATCTTTATAATGAAAGATACATGAACATTTCAGTCAGGTGTAATTAAAGGAAATAGCATACAATTCTCAGATAAATCTGTGTTAGCTTTAAAAGCAACTAATGAGGGTCCACGACGAGTTCTTATTGTAGCATCGCGTAATCAACCGATAACAATACGAGATGCTCAGAACGGCCTATTTCTTCGCACAATTTGTGGTCAAAAAAATCACACAGTATATAGTTTGATGCGTGATTATAATTTGATTTATTGTGGTACGAGTAGTACGTCTATACCTGTATTTGATTTTACGGTTCGTAATAATAATATATGTATCTTATCACATTATTATTGTAATATTACATTATTATGTAAAAATCATTCTTTATTTTTTTTTATTTTATAGAATGGTGAACAAACAATGCAGTATAATGCTGGTGTAGGAATCGTATGCATGCGTTTATATAAACAATTATTATTTGCTGGTTGTTATGATGGAAATATTTATGTATTTGATACAAAGGTTAATATTAAGCATAATAAAATATAAATAATAATAATGAAGTATTAATAGTAAAAATTATATTAATTTTCATATTTTAGGATCATCGACTTATATGTAGTATTCCTGGACCTGGTAATATGTTATTAAGTATGGAAGTCATAGATAATAAGGTATCTTATTTTTATAATAAAATATTTATTAAAATATTATTGAAATATTATATTAAATATAATATTAAATTATTTGTTTTCTTAGATTATAGCTGGTAGCAAAGATAAACGTTTGCAATCATGGCAAATGCCTCAACAAGTACTATCTTTATTATTGAATCAAATTTGAACTGATAGATCCTAATCTAGTCGTGCTCCTAGGAAAAAATTTTAAATTTGGAGTACAATCTGTTTACAATGACCGTCTATAAAATATTTGTACAGATTCAAAATATTTGATCTGTAATATATATAATTTTATTTAAGAAACAATGCACATAAATAATATAAATATGTTTGTACAGGAAATTAGATAAATTATTGATATTTCACGGTAAAATACGAGTATTTATAGTAAATTCAAAAAACTTATTAGAATCTTACTCTTTATTCTATTTTAACACTTCACAATTCGCACTACTGGGAATAATAAATTTCCTGTGTCTTGTGCGGAATATAAATTACTTTTTTTTTATATTTTATATTCTTCAATAAAAAATACAAAAAACGTAATTTTAATTATATACAACAACAACAACAACAACAACAACAATAATACATATTAAAAAAAAAAAAAAAAATTATCATTTAAAATTCTTAAATTTTTGCACTTATTATTTTTTTCTTTTGTACCTGCATTTTTAAATGTTATCAAATTATATATCATCTAAATACATAATAAATGTAATAATGTTAATAATAATTATATTTGTTATTTTACATTAAATTTATAAGTAGTTGACAACATTTCATAATTTGCTTAATTGCAAAAAATTGAAGTATATTAAACTTATACGGAAAAATTTATTTGAATTAAATAAATAAGAAATATGAATTTAATTATATTGATAGAATGCATATCTTTTCAAATAAGAAATGCTATAATTTTCGCGTAAATGTTTATCATTAAATTGTTACATTAATTTTTATATATGATATTATAATTACTAATTAATATATTCTTTAATAAACTAAAAGAAAGATGTGTTTTTGTCAATAATATTAACAAAAAATGTTAAAAAAATTTATTTATATTAATATATTATGAAAATTTTTATTTTAAGAAAATATAATATGCAAAAAAATTATATCATATTTTGTTTTATCTTTAATATATATTATTTCATTTAATTAACATTTTGTATTTATAAATTATATTATTATTTACATACATCAATGAATATGCTAAATTATAAGTTCATTATGTATTTAGTATTTGTTATAAGTATAATAATAAAATATTGTTTTCGTAATATTTATTTTTGAAAAAGAGTTTTCTATATAAATTAATGACAATAATTTATTAATAATAATTTTTAAACATTTTCATACATTAAATTATACGAAAATCATACATAAACGAATGTAATAAAATATCTAAATCTCAAAATTAAAATTTTGTATAATTAAAAATTAAATTGAGAAAAAATATTTATATTTTATAGTTATTTTTTTATTTTTATTTTACTTAATTCTAAACATTATCATATCATTATTTTAAATTTTATTTTGTACAATGAAATAATCAATTGATATTAATAAACAATGTAGTTACTATAGAAAGATTTATTAAATCAATAAATTTCTGTACTTATACATATAAAATATATGATCAATTTACGAATGCGTAACAATATAAATATTTTTTAAATTAATAGATTTAATATGTGTCTTTGTCTTGGTCCTATTAAATCGGGAAAAACATTTTTAATGAAACGTTTACAAGGAGATGAAATAGACTATGCAACTCATACCGTTTCTACAAATGGTATAAATCTTTTTACCATAAAAAATGACACTGGCGAATTTGATATGCTTATTAAAGAAATAGGTGGAAATATGGCACCAATATGGAAACATTACTTTGACAAGGTGAATTTTTTTATAAAAATTTTGAATTTAAATTCCAAAATCACTTTATAATTTTATAGAAGTTATTTTATTTTTTAGACACAAAAACTTATTTATGTAATAGATACAAGCAATCTCTGTCAAATAAGTGCGGCAGGAGTATTACTTTATTCATTGTTAGTTGATCCTAGATTGCGAAATATAAAAATCGCATTAACATTGAATAAAATGGATCTTTCTTATCGTCAAATGCGCAATGAAGCCCTACTTATGCTACAATATTCACGTTTGCAAAAAGAAGTTACTCAAGAATTATCTGTATTTGAAACTAGTGGAATGACTGATCAAGGTATTGAAGAATTAAGAAACTGGTTATTTGATCCGATTTCTTTAAAATTTTCAATAAATTCAAAAAAGTAAAAATTAATATATAGTACAAAATAATTTTATCAGAAAGTGGATATTTTTTTTTTATTTACACTCAATGTTACAAATAATATAAGGATTCTACGAATAACTTTTCAATAACATTTGTCAGGTTTTTCTAAAAAATCTAAAAATTTCTTCAAAAGTGAAATTATTTAATATTGAGCGTACAAGATTCGTATAATTTGAAATATTAATATAATTAATTAACTCATGTATTTTTTAATATATTTTCGAAATGTTAAAAAAAATTATATAATTATCAATCAAAAAGTTTCTAAATTAATTTAAAATAAATACTATTTAAATAAATGTTATTTATTATTACAAGAAATACATTGTATTTGGTATGTCAATTTTAACAATATTTGAATAGATATATTGAAAATATTTGATTTTATTTTTATTGATTTATATCAATAGTATATTTTTAAAATAAGTTTAGAAACTTTTTGATTATTTTTATATGCATATGTGCATTTATATGAAATTTGATGCAAACTATCATGATAATATAAACAGCATTAAAGAGTACAAGCATATACAACAAGAAAATAAAACAATATGATTTCCACAAAAATTAGAAAGAAGAAAAATATAGTTTGTTGCTATCTTGTACTAATAATGATAAATACATAAATGTTTATACATTTCTTAATTTGTTTCTCAAATATTTAAGATTTTTCTTATAAATCTATTCGTGAGCTTTTCAAAATATAATAAACTATACAAGAATCAGCAAAAACTATGTCTAATGTATCCTTGTAAGATCTTCCACTATTTTTACAAGATCATCCACTGTTGCTTCTTTTTTCATGCCGCTGGGATCGTCAATCTATTAGTGAAAAAATGAATTAAAAATATAATAAGCTATATACATATTATTATATAATTTAAAAAACAATTTAATGTACCATAAGACCACTTGCAACTTCTGCCATTTTATCAGGACTCAAATCAAGAAAACTTTCGATTAAATCTCCATCTATAAAACCTTCACATTGCTCAATTTTTAATTCCGTATTAAAACTTCTCCAAAAGTTATGTTCTATTTTACCAACACTTTTTATTACACTTGTTAATCTATCTTCAAGATTTCTTAAGAATTCATAAAATATAAATGGAATTTGTGTAACTAAACCGATTGCACCGCTAACAGTACCAAACAATACGCAACCTTGTGTAGGTGTACTTGATTCACCTAAATTTTGCATTACTAAAGATCCATGTCGAAAAACATTAACCATATCACCCAAATGAAATTGTCCAACTTCTTGCATTTGTTGTCTTTCATCTTCTGAAGTGGCAGCACTAAAATACATTTTAATTTATTATTTTATAATAAATTATTTTATAATATATATTAATTATTTTATATATATTATTTTATAATATTAATGTGTATACAAATATAATATAAATTTATCAAATTAACAATTTACCTATCTTTTTGGCAAACGAATAAATTAAAGCAATTCTCTGCACCCAAAAAAGTATCATCATCTAAAATTTCAATGGCAGTCATCCAATTTGGATTATAATCTCTTGCTATTTCTTCAAAACAACCTTCCATTGTTTTATATTGCAACAATGTAAGAGATCTCATAAGATCTCCAACTAAAATAAAATCGCCTTTACTTTTTAAGTAAAGAGCAATAATATTATTAAAATGACTACATTCTAATCTGAGTTCCTTTTCCGCTGTCCATTCAAATAAACGAACAGTGCTATTTATACTTGCAAGAAGTTTTCCATTAAATTCAGTTAAAGAATAACATGATCCTTTAATTTCTTTTTCAGCTACTTGTGTAAGTTTTCCATCACTCCAATGATATAAAAGTATTCTACCCATTTTTGGTTCAGTTTCATCTGGATGAACAAGTGCAGTTCCGACTATGTAATAAGAAGTAGGATCTTCACCTAATTTTGTTGATATCAATGATAATGCATATTCAGTGGGCATTAACATATGTGCATGTAAAACTTCAAAAGTATGTTGATCAATGATAAGTAGATTATGTACTTCAATTTCTTGACAAATATCACTAGCTGTATGTCCTGTAGGTTTATTATAAGATGCAATATGACTGCTGCTAGATGTAGAAGCTGCTTGTGTAGATGCTGAATGTCTTACAATGCTTACACCACTACTATCTTGGATGTCAACACGCATTGTTATTACTCCAAATGTTTGAGAACTTTCTTGGTAAGCAATTCGTCTTGGTGATTCTCCAAGAGGAACAGTTCGAATATGTAATTTTTGAATTTCATCAATCGTTCCAATTGTTACTGTACTATCAGTTGCTAATGCTAAGCTATCAGGGTATGATTCTGCATTTAAAGAACACATATGATTTACTTCCTTTAAATTAACATTGCTGAATACTAGTTTATGATTCGACGAATAAATTACAGTAGGCCTATCGGAACATGCAAAAACATTAGTGGTGAACAATGATCTGAAAGTTCTTAAAACTGTTGGTTGTGTACCTAAAGTAACTTTCTTTTTATCAGAAAGTATACCATTTTGCTTGTGTAAAGTAAAATAATACATGCTACCATCTCCAAGAGCACAAAGCAGATATGTATTACCTTCAAAACATGTCATTAAAATAGATCTAGGTATAATTTCACCACCAAGTAATTCTTTGTTAATTTCTTCTAAAGCAGGTAAAGTTAAAATATGAACAGAAATATGTGTCCATAAACCTACTGCAGCAATTTTTGCTTCTGTATTACCATCCAATGGAGATATATCTAAACAAGCAACTTCATATTGTAAAGTAGTAAATCCTTTTGGTAAAATTTGCCCACATGAAATTTCTAAATAAAATAAATCATTTCCAGTAGCACAAAGTACTTGTGTACCATTACAAGCAACTACACTAATAGTTCTTTTATTTTCTGGCTCCCATTCAGAAACAACTGTTTTAGTTTCATATGAAATTAATCTGGCAGATGTTGGCGTTATCTGAATAAATAAATCATTTGTAACATTCCCAGTATGAAAAGTTTGTTCATCAGAAACAAAACCTGGAATATCTGTTTCTTCAACTTCTTCTCCATTTAAAGTCAAAATTCTGGTTTGTCCAACAAAAGATAAAACCAAGGTATTATCAAAATTGCCACCACCAATTTTTAATGCCCACATACCCTTGATACCTGGCAAATCTATGCTTGCATGTTCTTCAATACCTATTCCATTTCTTATAATTCTAAGAGAACCTTCCTTGAAAGCTCCAGAACATGTAACCATCTGTCCTTGACCTTGTCTTTCAAGATCAACTACTGCCATGTCAACTATTGGTGCTAAATTTGTAAACGTTTCCATTGGTACACAATAGGAACCATTTTCATCTGCTTTTGTAATTAATTTAACTAATTGTGAATCACCCAATCTACTACCAACAAATATTACTCCATTATCTAAATATGTAATGCATTCTGGTATACTAATTTCTCCTAGAAGTTCAACTTTTAAATCTTTCACAACTTGCGTACCATCAGCTTTTTTTTCTTGTTCCACAAATAACATAAACAAATGTCCAGCCATGTCTCCTAATAAATAACGAAGTCCTTGATTATCGACTTTAGCATAGCATGTAATAGTACTTTGTTTGATAATTGGAGGCACAACAGCAACATATGTATTCCCATCATGATATAATATACTTTCTTGACCTATTATTATTGCACCACAAATAGGAGAAGGTACAGGAATAACTATCATAGCTTCACGTTCTACGTTATCCTGTCTCCAAGGTATTTTAACAAATTCTTTATCTCTTAAAGAAATTTCATGTGTCTTAACATGTCTTCCATTAATATCTTGATGAATTAAAATTAATGTAGGATTAGCACATCCGTGAAGAAAATTTACATCCTGTACTTGATGTTCTTCCATACGTATTGATGATGCTTTTAATTCTGGATTATCTTTATCAAGAGGTATAATTTTAAAAAGACCATCATATAATCGTAGACCAATTACACGTGCTTTAGGATCAATTACAGCTTTGATTCCTGTTTCTGAAGCTTTTCCAATACGATCTGCTACATTTCCATGTGCTTTTGTTATAATTTCTATATTTTCTCCTTCTCCAATACATTCCAAAATCATAGCATTATAACGTGTAGTTAAAAGAAACAAAAGATCTTTTTTTTCATGCTGTAGAGATATTCCAATCAATTAATTACATATTAATTTATTTTAATATGATTTAAAAATCATATTAATAGATTATTTATATTTTATATTTATTATTTATACTTATATGTAATAATATATGTGCATGAATGAAAAATAATTAATTCTTTGTACATATGAGGTTATATTATTCTTAATAAAATAAAAATATTATAAATATATATGTATTAAATAAAATATATAAATTTTATTATATTTAATATTAACATGAAAATATGAAAATAAATAGAATAATTTATAAAAATTAACAAATAAGATATTAGTATAACCTTACCGGCGGCCGAAAAAACTTAACAACTGCAATTTTTCCATAAATTCCAACTTCTTTTAATGGTCTTAAACCTTCTGGAGTAACAAGATATATTTCTAATCGAACATTTTTTGCTAAAATGAGGTTCAAATCCGTAGGGGAAGTAAAATTACCTTGATACGTAAAAAGAAAAGAATTGTTTATCTACGTAAGCATAGAATTTTTTTGTACATTTCTCTTACTTACCTGTCACACATGCGGTGACAGCTGTAGGCTTGTGTGCCGTTACCACATAATGATGAGACATCGCTTTCATAATATTTAATCCAACAACTTTTAGAAACTTGTTAACACTTCAACCATAAGATACGACCAAACGCTGGCCTTGCGTGCTTTTCAATTTCACGCGCCACGAAGTTAGCAACGATTCACAGTGTATTAAGCCTGGTTCACAATAAACATAAGGAATATTTTAAAATAAAGTTTTAAACAAAAGTTACTTCTTATATTGCTTATTCAGCAAATATACATATTTGAATTGAAACGTAATTTCATAAAAAAAAATACAAAAAAATTATATATTTCATATTTAAATAAAAAATGTGAATCAATTATTTAAATTTTTTGTTATTTAAATTAATTTCTTAAAAAAACACTTTTTTATAGATAGAATTCCGTTTATCACTTTTTAAGAAAT